CTGGCGTTGTCCTTGCTGCTGGGGATGAACTTGATGCACTCTCGCTTGTTGAACACCAGCTCTATCCAACGTGACCCCGCCTGCAACGACAAACACACGCGATTAGCACGCAGGAACGGTGGACAAGCAGAGAGAGAGAAGCTGAGAGAGAGAGAGAGCTGAAGAGAGAAAGCTGAGAGAGAGAAGCTGAGAGAGAGAAGCTGAGAGAGAGAAGCTGAGAGAGAGAAGCTGAGAGAGAGAAGCTGAGAGAGAGAATCTGAGAGAGAGAATCTGAGAGAGAGAAGAGAGAAGCTGAGAGAGAAGAGAGAGAGAGTGAGAGAGAGAGAGAGAGAGAGAGAGAGAGAGAGAGAGAGAGAGAGAGAGAGAGAGAGAGAGAGAGGAGAGAGAGAGAGAGAGAGAGAGGAGAGAGAGAGAGAGGAGGGAGAAAAGGAGAGGGGAATAAAGGAGAAGGGAGAGGGCGATGTAGTAAAAGGAAAGAGGAGAGGATGAGAGTGGATATGACAGGGATCGAGGGGTAAAACGGAACAAGGGAAGAGAGGATGAAGCAAGGAAAGGACGAAGACAGTGTCTCAAGAGGATAAAGAAGATGAAAGCGTGGAAGAACGAGCACGAAAATAGATGAGAACCGGAATGGGGCAAAGAAAGCAAATCCCACGAAGACAGGAAACAGCAGGAAATGTAAGTGGAGACGACGCGGACGGGAGAGGAAAAGATAACACGGGTCATAAAAAAAGAACATCATGGCCAGACGAAGAAAAAGAGAGAGAAAGAAATGATAACAGCGAGAATATGGCAGAATAAAAGGCAGCTTCCGGGGATCCCTGGTGACTTGTGAGGATGAGAAGGAGAACCGCTGGAACAAGAAATCTTAGATTTTGTTCTTTTTTCATATTATGGACTTTTCCAGCATATAATTTCCCTATATCACGAGCCAGTCATAAACCGCACACGATGTTAATTAAACATGATAGGAAAAGTATATGAGTGTATGTCTACCTTAGACTATAATTTCTTAATTACGTGTCTTAAATCGTTTCATCTAGTCACTGCATTATTCTAAAAGGAACAAAAAAAAAATGAAGGAAAATGCATAAACACACAGACATTTATCTACTACCTACTTGTCAACATATTCAGCATGGAAAAAAGTCATCACAAATTTCACCACAAAAGTAAACTTTAGCACGAGACTAAAATACGAGAATCGAAAATAACAACCTGCCGTAAATCACATCCAAGTTCCCAGTTCGTTCCCAGGATTCTTAATAACCGAAAGATTCCATAAATCCAAAACGTTCGGTATGAAAACAAAACAAAAAACTTGGCAAGTCCATTCGAAAAGTCAACCTGTCTGGTTTTAGCATTTCGGTCCTAACAATCGGGCCATGTCTGTATGTCACCTGAACCTGCTATACACACTGTATGTTTGGGCGCTACTCATTCAAACATACGATAAACAAATTAAATGGAATAATAAATAAAAAAAAAACAAGATACTCACCTTCTACAAGAAATAATGCAAACAAAAATCACGAGAAAAGTGACGAAAAAAAACACAAACAGATGCCACCGAAAAAAGAAGTTGAAGCACTAATTTGGCAAGATCTTCGTGCACGTCGACGTCTGAGAAGCCAAAGACTTTCGACTTACACCAGCAATCAGAGGGAAAAGGCTTGTTTGAGCGGAGCAATCATCGCAGGATTGTGCAAGACGCAAGAAAGGAGGAAAATAGTTTTTCTTTCAGGAGAAACAAAAAAGAAAGGGGTTGGAGGACGAAGAGAAGGATAAGAAGGTAAAGGAGAATATAATTAGAAGAATTAAAAGGAAGGGGAGAAAAATACTGAAAATAGGAAGAACGGAAGAAAGAAACGGGACAAGATGAAGAGGACAAGACAGAACAGGAAGGGGGGAAAAGATAAGGAGGAAGACGAAGTGAAGATTACACTATCAACTAGATAATAAACGGGAAATACCACTGACCCAACGGTAATCCTAAGAGCCAGGCGTGAAGCAAACCGCCCAAGATTACATTCTTTACGAGGACTCTTCCCATGGCTAAATCTGCAGTCAAATTGGGCGAATCCTAAACCTGACTCAGGGATGAAGCTACCATGACCAGCGTCAGCAAGCGCTTACGACAGCGCCACCGGTCAGCTGGCGTGGGGTGTCTGTGCTCTCAAATGAACATGGTGATCGCCCGATGCCCCCTCAAACAGACATGTTAATAGAGCAAGCCACGTGTTTGCAGCAAGCCACTAGGAGGTGTATGGATAAGTGCAAGCCGCAAGGGCAGAGCATCTGAGTCAGCGGCTGCGGTGAGTCAGACAGAAGGCGGATCAATCGTACAACATCCCGCCAGTGTCGATGGCAGCAAGCGGTTTAGCTCAATGCACGTACCTTGCACATCCCGGCCGAGTAATTTCACGCTTTCCAGAACTTGACAATGACATCTGGTAATCCTCAGCCAATTAAACGAACGCGGTATTTTGGCCGGAATGTGAGAACCATATCTCTTGGGAAGGGAATCATGTAATTTTCTTCAAAATTCTAAAGCATTAAATGTTGAAAAGAAAAGAAAGTGAGGCAGGACTGCGCTTTTTTTTCTCTCTCTCTATTTTTCTCATGGGCCGTCCTTCACTCGGGATATCAAAAACATTTTCCGACACGCTCTGACGCACACATGCAAATCACTCACATTCTCGGCGCTGCCTTAACGACCTGTCAGTTCCCGCGGACGGTACAAGAGCTTACCCACACGTCACGCGCCTTGTAAACGATCTAGACGAGGGGCAATATCTTGCTTTTCCATTAAGGGGAATCCGGGATTAGCACTCCTGAGTCCCGGGACGTCCTCACAGCGAGCCACTGGCTGGTGTTCGTCTCTAAATCCGCCACGAGTCCCCCCCCCCCCCCCCGCCAACATGGCCATGCGGCATGAAACCCGATGAGAGATTCCGGGAATAGAGTGGAGAAAAGGGGAATGAGGTGGAGGGTGGAACAAAGAAAACGGACTGATACATAACAAAAAGAGAGAGGGGAGGAAGAAACGAGAAAGGGAATCAAATATATACATACATACATACATATATATATATATATATATATATATATATATTATATACATATATATATATACATATATAATATATATATATATATATATATATATATATATATATACATATATATATATATATTATACATATATACATATATACATATATACATATATACATACATACATACATACATATATACATACATACATACACATATATATATATAATATATATATATATATATATATTATATATATATACATATATACACAAATATAAATATCATAGCTATACATACATATATACGCACAAATAGATATATATAATATATATTATATATATATATATATATATATATATATATATATATATATATATAATGAATCATATTTAATTTTTAACAAGTTGTGGAAAAGCAAGGCCAATGCCGATTCCTCGCCTTTACGCCTGTGATCCACTCAACCGACGATGCGTAAGCGATCCTCTAACAACTTCGGCGTCCGTGTTCGCGCGCTCATACATACTGAACATGAGTAACGGCATAAACAGTTTAAGTGGTAGACGCTGGGCGAAACGACGCCCCCCCCCCCCCCCCACTATCTCTCTAAATGGTTCCGTTTGATCTTGGGATCACTTCAAAGAATCTTATATTCCGTGATCAAAATTCGTACTTTTCCTCTTACTCGATTAAAACGTTATATAGAGCTTTCCACTTTGAAATCCGAAACCCATTTTTACATATCCAAATCGGATTTCACAAATCTACGGTTAGCTGAACCCACACTTCACTACCATTCTCATACTAAACGGCTAGAGAGGCCAGCTCGCGTAGGCACAAAGGATCTGCGTGATCATTCTATCTCGCCTGGAGAATTGGATTATCTATCTGAGTTATCTTTTATATCCGTGGTATAGTGCTGAAATAAAATAGCGCGATCCCCTACGAAATTGCCGACTCCTCATTCCTATCCATGTACTTCTATCTCCTGCATCTCTGCTTCTCTCCGATCCTCTCTCGTGCCATCCCCAACCCTCCTTCGTTTCTCTCCTCTTCCCCTATTCATTTTTCTCCTCCTCTCCCTCTTTCTTACTCTTCTTCCTCTTCCTCCTCCTGCTGCTCCCTCTCCTTTCCTATCCCCTACTCAATTATTCTTCATCTTCTCGTCCCTCTTTTCCTTACTCTACCTCTTCTTGCATTCGCCACCTCATAACCTCCATCGTCCCTTCCCCTTCATACTTACCCCTACCCCTTCCCCCTTCCACTTCATATCCTCCCCTCCCATCCTCCATCATACCCCTATCACACCCCTCCCCTTCATACTTCCCCCCTCCTTTCTTTTCATACCATCCCTCCTCTTTCCCTTTCATACACATACCACTCTCCCCTTTTCCTTTCTTACTCTCCCTCCTCCTTCCCCTTCATACCCTCCTTCGTCTTCCACCTTTATACCTCCCCCTCTTTTCTTTTAATATCTTCTCTCCTCCCCTTTCCCTTTCATACCCCCTCTCCCCTTTTCCTTTCATACCCTCCTTCCTCTTTCCCTTTCATACCCTCCTCCTCCCCTTCCCCCTTTCTCCCTCCTCCCGCCTAGGCCTTCTGTGAGATCACGTGACCTCGCCCAGACACTTCGAACACACCGCCTCCGCTTCGTCTTCCGACCTTTTGTCCTTCGCACAGCTGCTTCCTCTTCCTCCTCTTCCTCTTTCTCCTCTCTTCTCCTCTCCTTTCCACCCGCCTCTCCTCCTGGCTGAATATTTCCTCATTCTCTTCTTTCCTCCTTTTCATAAAATAGACCCACCGAAAAGAATTATAATGGCTTAACACAGAAGTAGGAAAATAAGGCAGATGAGATTCACGAACACACAATGTCATGTAGGAAAAAAAAAAAATCATTCACTGCCCGGTTCTTTCGCTATAGGCCTAAACTTATCTCTTTTTTTCCCCACTTCTAGTTAAACATTCACCCCCCACCCCCACCCCCCACTCCTCTACTCCACCATCTAATATTTTCCCACTTAAGGGTCTCATGCACGAGGGCGGAACAAAGAAGGGGGGGATGGGCGTAGTGGGTGGAGGGGGGGATAGGGGAGGGAGAGGGCGGAGGAAGAGGAGGAGGGGAGGGGAGAGGAGGGAGAGAGGAGAGGGAAGGGGGGAGGGAGGGGGATGAGGTAGTGGTGGAAGGGGGAAGAGGAGGAAGGGAAGGAGGGGGGGGAAGAGGAGGGAAGGGAAAGGAGGGGGAAGGGGGGAGGGAGGGGAAGGCACAAGATCACCGCACAACTTAACTAAGACAAAGAAGCACCATCGTAAGATCTTAATGGACAAAGTTCGCACGGAATTCTTCGCTCGACTTTTGGCTCCCACGGCCGCCAAGAAGGGGTTGGCGAAGCGATTTCACGGGAATTGGAAATGAGCGATTATGGTGCTGGTGATGTTTGATGATCATGGTGGGGATGGTACTGCAGGAGGGAGTGGTGGTGGGGATGGTGACTCTTGGTGATAGCGGTGTTTGATGATGGTGATGGTGATGGTGATGGTGATAATGATGATAACAACAATGACGATGGCAATGACGATAACGATGCTGCTGCTGCTACTGTGATGAATGAAAATGATTATATTGATGATGATGACGATGATGATGATGACGATGATGACGATAATGATGATGACGATGACGACGACAACGTTGCCGATGCCAACGACGACGACGATCATCATCACCATCAACATCACAAGGGACTATAATAACATGCGCGCACGAAGAAGACAAATTTCGTTCTCCTTAGCGTGTCACCGGCCATGTGTCGCACAGCGTCTAAAAACCGCTGGGAATACAAATGGCCCATTATAACGGTTCTCGGAATGGCACCGATGGCTTCCCAAAATTCTCGTCATGTCCGAGAAAATCTGCCGAATGAAAACGTCTGATTTCAAATAGAGGACCACGCAAACCTCCGAAGAATCATACAAAAACTACTTACGTGAAGTGAAAAGCTGTTTACTCTATAACAAATACGCGATGAAGTGACAGGCTGATTCAAAAGCAATACGAAAGACGCGGTACACACCAAAACACGAAACCAAACACGTAAAAAAAATACCCACAAAGCGATCGTCAAGCACTCCACCCAACATTCTTCGTCCTCCTATCTATCCAATCCAACCCGCTGTCCTTTCCTTCCTATCCAAATGACTCCACCGCGTCGAAGGGACGGCGGCAGAGCAGACCTATTGGAAGTTAAGTGATTCTTCAATTGCCCGGATGTCGTTACAGGTGAGTGGGTCCGCCTCCCCGTGGGCGTCCTCGGCAGGTACGGGCGAGGCGAACGGCCGACGGCGGCTCCATCATGTGCTAAGCCTCATATTTCCCTTGGGAGGTAGGAAGAAATAAGAAGGAGAAAGGAGTATGAAGGAGGGAAGAGGAAGGATTAAAGAGGTCGGAGGAAGGAGGGAAGAGGAAGGAGCAAGGAGGGAAGAGGAAGGATTAAGGAGGAGGGAGGAGGGAAGAGGAAGGATTAAGGAGGGAAGAGGAAGGATTAAGGAGGGAAGAGGGAGGAAAAGAGAGAAGAGGAAGGATTAAGGAGGAAGGAGGAAGAAAGAGTAGAAAAGGAGGAGGGAGAGGAGGGAGGAAGGTGGGGTGTGAGGATAGGAGGGTGGGAGGATGAAGAACGCTGGAGGCATGCAAGGGGGGGGGGGTAGGGGTATCATTAATCTTGTATATAAATTTCTGGCGCTTAGATGAACAAGCAATCTATTACCATCATTCTCACGCCTTGGAGAGTGAATGGGAAAGAACACACTCGTCATCCTTGTCGCAGAGTCTCCCAACAGCAGATCACGAGTACCAGAACGATCACAAAGAACAGAGATGATGTTTGGGGGGGTGATATGAAGGGACGGGGGGGGGGAGGGAGGTTAGAGGAGGGCTGAAAAGTGTCACGGAAAGGCCTTCGATACAAAATGCGATAAATCACGTATATAAGATAAAAGAGGAATGGCTGAATCGTGAAGGGAAAATGGGCGAGGGCGAAAGAGTGAAAGCAAACAGCATATATCAAAGATCAGAACAAAAGCATTGCACTTACCATCTTTACGTATATGCACAGTCACTCTCTTCATCCTAGCTCATCTGTAAGAAAAAAAGAGAGGCGATCACTAACACTGTGGGGAAAGACATAGAATAAATAAAACATCATTTGCATTTTAACCCTGACCGTTGAGAAGACCGTTATTCAAAAACAAAAGTTTAGATCGAAAACAAGTGCACCAAATAACATTTTCTGGGAGATAAATAATATTCCCAAATGTTGCATTTTCTATTTGCATATCGTCTGTACGGCTATAGTTTATTCTTAGTTTACCTCGTTTAACACTTCGGCCCTATTCCCAAAGGTCAATTTCTTTATATGGCGTCTTTATACATCGAACAATATACATACATGCCCCTAATAACAATAAAGGTCATACAATGCAAAACAAAAAAAACACAACTGGAACACAAATCCAAGGCGCACATAAATACACTATAAATGGTTATAAAATGCAAAACAAAAAAAACACAACTGGAACACAAATCCAAGGCGCACATAAATACACTATAAATATACCAAAGTGCCTTTCACACACCCATAAATCGTACCATCACAGCTCGAAACGAAAACGCGCTTCCGGACATTTCCCGCCGAAGCGCCAGACGCACAAAGACAAGCCGCAACCTCAAACCAAACGCCAGCTGATTCAACCGAGACCCAAGCCCGGCCCGCGTCCTCCCCGCCTACCCTTTGTCACGCTATTGATAAAATCATTCCCGCCGCCCGTCGTTCTGCGCCGGGCTCAATGGCACACTTATCTCTGTTCAAGCCACATGTTCCTCCTTTTGTCGGGGAAGCTAAATCTGGCTGTTCCGACGCCCGCGTGCAAGGGAGGAGACTTCTGGCCGCACCGGATTGGGTGGGAAGCCTCCGGATCAGGAATCACGGGCGGGGTACGAGACGGGTGTTTCGCATTTCCGGTCCACTAGTGTGACGAAGTGTTTAAGATATTTTTCTAGCTATATTTAAGACTCATTTCTCCCCCTGATCGTTCGCTAAGTTCATCCTCATCGTCCTTCCATCGCAAATATAGTGTGTATACTCCTTTAAACTATTTACACTTTACTATTTAGTTCGATAAAACCCATTGATAATGCCCACGAGAGCGTAGCATCCACGCAGCAGCTTAATCAATGGAAGCAATGAGATCCCTTTATTAGAAATCATGAAGAGATACAATGTTAATTACGAACAATATCTGCAAATACAACACAGCCTGAGCCTCAGCCTGAGGATGTATATAGCAATGGCGTTTAGATTTACGATATCATAAATTGCGTGTGTACGTGCGTGTGCGTGTATGCGTGTGTGTGTGCGTATAAATGTCTCTCTGTCTGTCTTACTCTCTTCCTCTCTCTCTATATATATATATCGATTAATTATCATAAATCTTAAGTTGCTATTTACTTTAATTCCCTATATTACAGTGGTGTGTCTGCTTGCGTGCGTGTGCGTGTGTACGTGCATGTGTGTGCGTTGCGACGTGCGTGTGCGTATGCGTGCGTGTGTGTGCGTATGCGTGCGTGTGTACTTGCGTGTGCGTGTTCGCGTGCGTGCATGCGTGTGCCCACGAGTATAAACAAAACAAATCCAACAAATCTACGCATCAAAATAAATGCCAATCAAAACGCGTCCCCTCTCTGGAGCGATAAGGTCTTTGCCTCTAATCATAATCGGCAATCTGCACATACACTCAGGACTCTTCTTCTCATCCTCCTCTTCATATGCAAATCGCGGTTTCCGGCATTCGGGCGAAATATGCCTCGGGAATTCAGAAATTACTTTACGATTGTGCACTGCATACTTGGAGGGATTACTCTCTACATAAGAGAGAAAAAGAGAGAGCGAGAGAGGGAGAGGGATATAGATAGAGGGAGAGGGAGGGAGTATGAATGGGAGGGGGATGGAGAGGGAGAGGAAGAGGCCGGGTAGAGTCGATAGGTAGGTAGGTACGTCCGTACGTACATATGTATGTACGTAGGTAGGTAGGTATATAAGGAGGCAGGCAGAAAGAGAAAAAGTGACAGGGATGGAGAAAAGGAAAAAGGATGCATGGAGGCAGCGGGCAACAACAACCGTAACAATGATAAAGACAGAAAGATTAGAGAAGAACGGACGAAAAGAGAATAAAAAGAATGTAATTAAGATAGAACAGAGAAGAAAATAGGAGAACGATGAGAAGAGAGGAGAAGGGAAAGCGAGAAGGCACTGAAAACAATAAAAAGGAGGCTCGCGTTTTTCATAAACAAAAAGTGCAAAGGTAAAACTTACTTTTCTGCTGCAAGGAAAGATTTGGAGAGAAATCAATGAGGCTTCAGTAGAGTAAGCGTGTTTGGGAAACAAAGGACACTGGGATAATCAAAACGGAAAAAGAAGAGGAATAGGAAAAAAAATAGTAACAGGAATAGGAACTGAAATAGGAATTGGAGGACGAAGAGGAGGAAGAGGAAGAGAAGGAAGAGGAAGAGAAGGAAGAAGAAGAATAGAAAAGAGGAAAATATATACATTATAACACACACACACACACACACACACACACACACACACACACACACACACACACACACACACACACACACACACACACACACACACACACACACACACACACACACACACACACACACATATATATATATATATAATATATATATATATATATATATATATAATATATTAAACAATTGCAATCACAAATGTTTCTTTATCAAAAACAGGACAATGACGCTGGAAATAGCTGCGGGTGAAGGAAAGGGAAGGGAGGAAAAGCACGAGAAGAAAGAGAGAATAACAAAATTAAGGCGATGAGACTGTCCAGCTGGGATGACGAATCCGCAAAGTTAGACGAGTGGAAGAGGGAAGAGAGGGAGAACAGGATAAAAAAAATGGCAATAACAGGCTGCAGTGATGACACGCGAAAGAAGGGAGGTAAACAGAAAGAGAAAAAATACAACTGCAACCATAATACAAGACAGAAGAGATGTAAAAGGACAAAGAGAAAGAAAAAAAAGAAAAAGAAAATTACAGTCTCGACGGTGTAATTATTGCCGGCACAAAGACAAAGGGTAAAGGACAAGTAACAAAGAAAACGAAGAAAATAAAGAGTGCATATCTAAACACAAAAATTACCAAACAAATATATAAATCGCGCAGCCCCAAAAAGAAAAGAGGAAAACAGCGATGCAATAGAAACTTTAAACGTTAGAAATATCTTGAGTTTTAAAACAAAAACAACAGCCCAAAAAAACAGTTTAAAAGTATAGAAAAAACATCATGCAAGCGAAAAAAAAAAACAAAAAACATGGAGAGCTTGTCCTTTTTCCCTCGCCACCCGGAAGGGAAAAAATCACCCCCTTTCCAATATTTCCCTTCTCCTTGCTTTATTCACATTGTCCTTCCTCCCCTAACCTTCCTCGACCCAGCCACTGCACCACAGAACCGCGACACAACCTGGAAAGTGATGCAGAAAGTGAGAGGAACGGAGGTGAAGATGAGAGGAAGTGGCGCGCGGAAGAGAAGAGAGAGAAAAAAATCACACGAACAGATAACAATTTCATTTTTCTTTTTTCTTTTTTGCATTGCGAGGAGATACCAAGCTGCCGGGGCATCTTCTGCGTCAATGAAGGGCTATCTATGCGATCTTGGCCCCGGCATTTTGCGAGCATAGACATCATTTTCCTCGCAATTTTTTATTATTACACTTAGCACCCCCACGATGAATGCCATTGTGATACGGGTGACACCATTCAATATTATTACTACACTACACACTCCCTTTCAGTAAAATCTGCTAATTAATCCAAATGTACAAGTCCCTTCCAATTGTCCTCATTAAGTGTGTCATTTGTAATTACAAGCGGCTCTCTTTTTCTCACTCGTTACAGTTAATTTTAAATGCTTAGAAAATGATTGCGATCAAGAGAAAACGAGAGAGAGAGAGAGAGAGAGAGAGAGAGAGAGAGAGAGAGAGAGAGAGAGAGAGAGAGAGAGAGAGAGAGAGAGAGAGAGAGAGAGAGAGAGAGAGAGAGAGAGAGAGAGAGAGAGAGAAGAGAGAGAGAGAGAGAGAGAGAGAGAGAAGAGAGAGAGAGAAGAGAAGAAGAGAGAGAAGAGAGAGAAAGAGAGAGAGAGAGAGAGAGAGAGAGAGAAGGATAAAATGAGAGACAGAAACATAAAAAGACAGATATTGAGAGAGACCGTGAACTAAATTGAAAAAATATAACTCCCCCCTTCCCCCCAAAAACATAAATAAATCAAATAAAACTATTGACCGGGCCATCCGAACTGACACGCGCCATCCCTGTCACCGGGCAACGTGACCTCCGCCAGCTGCCTGACCCCCGATACCATGATCGCACACAATCATTTTTTTCCAAACTTAATTGCTCTTTGCATAAGTAGCTTACGAAAACAGCAACACTTCTTCCCTGATCACTCGCCTTTGTGCTCATGTCAAGGAATCAATAGTGCATTGTGATGCCCTTGAGAATAATGTAAAATTATATATGTATAATTTCTTGGTCAATGTTATGCTTTATAAATTGCTCAAGGTAACTCTGTCGTAATATTACAAAAATTAAAACGAACATCTACATCCTTCTTCATTTAGTGAGCAATTATATATACTAATAATTAATAATTAATGATAATAATGATCAAGATAACAATAACAACGATAATGATGATAATAATAGTAATAATAATAGCAATAACTATAACTATAACAATAACACAAACAATAATAATAATAATAACAGCAAGAATAATGACATTAACAATAACAATAATAGTAATAACGATACAATAGAAATAATAATAACTATCATAGTTATTATTATCATAACTCTAATTATAATTATGCTCATAACTGATTATAAATATCATCATAAATATAATCATAATCATCATTCCAACTAAAATCATAGCAATACCACCACCACCAACAACAACAACAACAACAATCACAAAGAAAATCAACAACAATATTCCAGACGCCCTGCACGCACAACCCCTCGTCCTCAACTAAACCCCTTAATCAACAGCC